ATCACAAATTCTGTTTATTATTTTATAATTAATGATACCTCTTGTTTGCCAAGTCCAAGAGGAGTGTAATGTTTTTAGAAAACTGTCACAGTATCGATAGAATGTCTAATATCTGTAGAGCAATGAACAATCCTTTTGAGATAAAATCCTGAGTTAACTTTTAATTTCGACGATAAGCTTCATTATGGGCCAACTTCAAATAGAAAATCATTGAAAAATAGTGAATACCAAACACGTGTTCCGTTCTGGTTTAGGAAAACACAGTCATCAACAGATACAGGATATCATTTACGAAGTTTCACACTAAGGAGAAATATTCGGTTTCCTATCTCCCACTCATTTATTCTTCGGATAATCCTGGTCAGGAATATAAACTATTTTCCAACTGACCTAAACGCACGGTTAACATTAATCATCAACCATTTAAAACTGGGCAGCACTGTACAGACGTTTAGTCCTAGAATAAAACCTCTCAGTATTGACGATTCATGATCTTATCGGGGATTGAAGAGAGGACCTTCTTGAAGTAGGAGTCTGACCTTAAGATCATTCACTCAGTATTTTCTGGTTTTCATCTCTAACTTCAATCAATTCCTCGTATTGAATAACCATAACTCGCTGTTATCAGCATGCATATACCTCACATTCGACAATAGTTAGACTTCACTGATCATGGCTTCTCAAAAACAACTCTTGCGGTTACCTCTCAAAATTAGTCATTATTAAGTATATGATTGTTAATAATGTAAATTAATTAACCAATCTCCATGAGCTAAACAATTGTCATTCTTGATTTATTCACTCTTTTTTTTCAGACATAGATCCTACAACCATCACTATTATCATCGTTCATCAAGTCAACCACAAACTAAACATGAAAGAATAATTCAAAATCATCTATCAAAAGATCATCGATGTAATCATAATGATGAGTACAGGACATCGTTAGAGCAAACATTTATGAATAATGATACTACTAATAATAATATTCAATGTTCAAATATACAACATCGAATACAATTCAATCAACAATCATATAAAAGACAATCAAAACACCGACATAAACGTACTAGACGACGTGCTAAATCATACTTACCTATTCATCGTTTACTTTCAAATGATATAAACAATCAAATAAATGATTCATCAGCTAAATCGAATCATTATAAATTAGATTCATATAGATCTCAAAAAGAACTAGATCATCAAACTGTGATGAAGAAAAATGATAAATTCATTGTAGATCCTTCACTTGATCTCAATCAACGGTTGATCCATTTAAAACAGGATCATAAATTTAAACGTTATAATCGAAAATATTTAGGACAATTAAATGTTCAAGAATGGTTAAATAAAACATTAACAAACAATTATTAATCAAATAAAATCAATAGAATTCTGATCATTGATTGAAAAATAATAATAACAATAATGTAATTTCTCCATTGTAATATAACGATGGATACTTGTTTTATAATTTTTGTTCAACAAAATTAATTTATAATTTACATACTATTAAATATACTTTGTAAGTAGTATCATTTTTAAATGAAAATTTGTTTGAGGCATTAGATATAGTAGGTGGCATCTACTATTGAGAATTGCAGTTTACATTGTTTCAAGATTTCATTTTATGTATATAGTGATAGACAGTGTCAGTTCAAAAACATTAGAAAGTATTCAGATCATGAATTGATCAATGTTAGACTATCAATGAAAACATAGAAGCAATGGATGGCTGTTTCGTTTTGGTATGAGACTCCACAATAGTGCTCACACACGATCCCGAATCCGAGATTTGAACCTATGGCCCTCGGTTTAGCGTGCAAACGCCTAACATCTACACCACTGATCTAACCGGCATCCAACGGTGTTTATGTCTAACTTCAACCAATTCACGAAATTGCGCGACCTTATTTCATTGTGCTGAGGTACATATCTGTCTCTACCTGACACGGATTCCGTGAGGCGGGATCGTAGATGCGCACTGATGAGGAGTCTCATACCAAAACGAAGCAGCCATCCATCGCTTCCAGGTTTTCAGTCATGGTCTAACATCAATGCATATCTTGGTCGACTGTGTGGACTTATCATTTGCCAGATGTCTGATTGGTCCGCTGTCAATTAGTAAACATTTGGGTCCTTTACCCAGTTACAAAAACTTTCATAAACATTATCATAGTTCTCTCGATACTTCCATACACTTACTGAAAGTTCAATATGACTTTATGAGGTAACCATTTAAGAATCATGTAAATGAAATTTTTGACTGACTGATAGCAAGTTTAGTATCTCTCTACTTTTAAAGCTCATGTAACATAGTCATACAGTAGAAAAGAGGACGTCATTACACGATCCCCCCTATAACAATCATGGTGTTTGATAATTATAGAAACTTTCAAGGTTTTAATCTTTAATGCTGTCACAGGGACTTGTCTTGCAAAATACTGTTTATTAGCTCATTTAGGTCTATGCTCTAGATGAACTAAAAAGCAACATATGAGGGAAACTAGTACCAAAATATGGTTCATCTGTACGATGGTAACGACTAGTATAAGACTCTTCAAAAGTGTGCACCCACGATCCTGCACGCGGGAACCGGACCTAGAATCTTCGGTCTCGCACGCAAACGCCTAACCTCTAGACCACTGAGCGGGCATCCAAAGGTGTTAATGTCTAACTTTAATCAACCTACGACATTGTGCGACGATCCTCGATTGTCTCCGTTGGTTAACTGCCTCATATCCGACATGGATTAGCTCGATCGGTCACGGCTTCTCATTGGAAACCCAAAAATGTCCTATCGAATCTGGTCACTAGTGAGCACAATGCCTCCAAGTTTTCAATGGTGTTTTAACTTAAATGAGTTCATGATTTTAATAAAATTACTAGCACTATTTCACTTTTCAATACCTGGGGTGTGGGTTAGATGTTCACCTCTCATTGTTATTGCCACTACATTATTTAAACCCCTTTATTGTTCATCTTATCGATTTCGTCTCATCGTTCCATTGTAGTATAGAAACCTAACATAACGCATAATTGTGCCTGCTAAAATCAGAACCAACTCCTGCTATTCAAACACGAAATGCTAATTGTCGTTTTAGCCGCTCACGGTATAACTATTAACTAAGGAGCTTTCTGAATGCAGAAGGAGAGCAAAAACCAATCTGCTGTCCATTGAAATTGAGACAGATCTGTACAAGTTAAAATCTGAAGTAAAAGTCTTATCAGATAAGAGCTATAAATAATTAACTAACATCAGTCTTTTCAAGCTATATATAGGAATGTTGTTTAACACTGCTAGAGTTAAAATTAGATCATCACATTCCGCTCAAGTATTGTTTCCTTATATAACTATGAAATCTGATTGGCGTGTTTTTAGCAAGATTCCTTCAACGGGATTGGATTGCAGATCCCATGCCCAACCCTCCTCTATTACCCAGGCTTGGAACTGGCAGTGACTCTAGAAGAGCTACAGGCGGAGAAAACAGACACGGCTACATTTGATGGAAAAGCTCTGGAAGATTTGGAAACCTTCACATATCTGGACAAAACCATTGATAAACACGGAGGATCCGATGCAGACGTAAAGGAAAGGATTGGAAATGCAATGTCTGCATTCCTAAATTTAAAGAACATATGGAACTCAAAACAATTGTCAACCTATATCAAAGTCAAAATCTTCAATGAGAATGTCATGACAGTTCTACTGTATGGAGCTCAAACTTGTAGAACTACTACAACCATCATCAAAGAAGTACAAGTATTTATAAAAAACTTTCCACGTAAGATACTCAATATTCGTTAGTCGGATACCATTAACAACAGCCTACTGTGGGAGAGAACTAACCAACTTCCATTCAAGGAGGAAACTAGGAAAAGACGGTGGAAGTGGGTAGGATATACATCGCGAAAACCACCTAAGTGTATCACGAGGCAAGCCCCAATTCGGAATCCTGAATTGAAACGGAAAAGAGGAAGGCCAAAAAACACACTGAGTCTAGAATTGGAAGCAGACATCAAAAGAATGAATAGCAACTGAAAACAACTGGAAAGGATTGCAGAGGACAGGATTATATAGAGAGTGCTGGTGGGCGGTCTATGCTCTTTCATGACGGGTAACTGGCATAAGCAAGTAAGTATAACTATGAAATTACCACTCCCTCTTGTTCACAACTTTTTATAAAAAGTTTTCAAAACACCACTAAAATCATTTTGAAATTATCTCTGAAAAAAATGTTAGCTATGACCTTACTGGCTTAATGACAAGGCCTTCTACTGTGATACTTGATAACACAAACTCGAACCGCCTAAATAGTATCGGTCCCATCAGAATTCCAGAAATCTAAGTCAATCACTGTCCACCATATCAAGTAAATAGTTTACAGCTAAATCAATTCACTTGTTAGGCAAAATTCCAATAGTACAGTGTGTGCTACTGATGTCAACAGATATAAGTAGTATGTATCATCAGTCGAAAATCAAATACTTGGTGAAACAGAAGGTAAAGAAGATCGAAGAAAGGAGAACGCAAACAAAGAATAACTACTGTGGAAACAAAAGAACAATGAAGTCTGAGACGATTGATTGACATTTTACAAATGAAATATTCACTATATGATTCACAAATTTCACTAACAGATTCTTTAATGTTTTACTCAAATACATTCGATTGTCCCCATTTTTGTATGTTCTTGTCTACCTCAATAACACTGAATACAAGAAAGACAGTATGACAATTATTCCTAATTACAAAACGAATATAATGAAATTAAAGTCCTTTCTTAATATTAAATATCATGTTATGAAGGCAATAACTGTATAGGAATAGAAGTAAATCATCATGTCCAATGTTTGTACATCACTAATAATAATCATAATAATAATAACTTGTTAGTATTCACAGATCAATATGGAAAATGGTGATAATCCAAGTAACTATCATATTGAAGTAACAAAATATTGATACCAAATTTTAATAAACTACTTATCTTTTTTTATGTATGTGATAGCATATGTCTAGTTAAATGATGTTTTTCTTTAAATTGTTCACCACATAAAGAACAAATTGGTTTGTTTAATGTTGAACAATAAGATGGTACTGTTGGTGTTGTTGTCGTCGTCGTTGTCGTCGTCGTTGTCGTCGCTGTTGTTATTGTGATTTGTGGCGATGTTCTAACCGTTGTCAATGATGATATGGATGATTGCCCATTACAGTGTAATAAACCAATTTCATTATTATCATCGTTCTCATTGCTTAACTGTTTTCTCTTATTGATTAAATCAGTTGTATTTATTGTTTTATGATGTGATACTAAACGATCTTTTGCATTAGAATATTTACTACCTTGATTATGACATGTACGCATATGATGTACTAAATCACTAGTTAAACGAAATGTAATAAAACAACGTGCACACCAATTTTGTGCTAATGCTAAACTACTTATTAACGGTGATGATGTTGTTGTTGTTGTTGTTGTCAGTGTCATAGTTGCCATCGTCGTCGATGATGTTGATGATATTGGCTTTTTTAATGATAATGTCATATTCGAAATTAGACTGGATGAATTATTTTCAACATTTGAATCTATTTTATGTGACATGATTGTTTGTAATAACTGTTCAACTAATGGATTACGAGATTTTAATGGTAATGTAGTTTTTAATTTAGATTTTTTAGTATACAAATTATTACTACTATTATCTATATAAGTAGTTTGCTTTAATGTTTTAAAAGGTTTGACAATTTTATGATTAGATTGAATTCTATGTAAATATTTTCTATGTAATGAATTGAAATTTTTCATAGATGTTAATTCATTCATTTTCCCAATATTTCCCACCTTCTGTAATTGATCCTCTATTTTATTGGATCTAGTTTCAAACGTTACTTGTGTATTATTATCATTATCATCATCATCATCATCATCATCATCAACATCATAATCATCATCATCATAATCATCATCATCATTTTCAATTGTGTTCTTCTCATGATGATCTAATTTGTTCTGATTTAATGGTGTATTCATATTGTTATGTAATAATAAATCGATATTTTTTTGATATGTATATTTATTAGTTAATTCAATAGGAAACTCATTTGATTCTATGAATCTATGATGATTGAACCATTGAATATTTTGAATGATAGTTTGTTTTTGACATTTAAATAAACAATGCGATATATAGGGATAAATGTAAGTGAATTCATCATGACATCTGGAACATTGAAATTTGCCTAAATGTTAAAGGTAAAAGTTGAATTTATTGTCTTTGATTTAAAAAAATATTATTATTATTATGAGTATGGAGTTGTGAAGATTGTTGAGTACTGGACGGACGTTCTGTTTAAGTATGCGATTTCTCAAAACTGTGCATCCACAATCCTACACTAGAGATTCGGACTCAGCACCTTCGGCCTCGTGCGCGAACATTTAACATTAACACGATTGGATGTCAGCTCAGTGGTCTAGAGGTCAAGTGTTCACACTAGAGATCAAAGGTTCTGGGTTTAAACGCCTTGTGTGGGATTGTGGATGAACAGTTTTGAGAAATTCCATACTTAAACAGAACGCCCGTCCAGTAATTCCAGATTTTAAATGTTGATCTAACATTGATCGATTCGTGACCTCAATCAAATTATTATTATTATTACTTTCATCCAAATAACGTTCTGTAGCTACTTTGTCTTAGTATAAGTTATATCAACAGTTCATACCTATGACCGCACTACCTTTTAGGCACAGAATATTTACCTAACGATCCATATTTACAACTTCGGTCACTAGAACATGATTGAGAAGAATTCTAGGAGTTCTGTAGCGAGGCCTTATCCAATGGACTTTAATCATATAGAGAGTAAAACAATCATAGTGCTTCCATTTCAGTTTTCTACTACTTAGAATTTGAACAATTTGTAATCATTTACATAAAACTGTTTAACTGTATAAAGTAAGCATTCATAGTGATTGAGGATAAACGAATCTAAAACAAACAGCTAAAATAACAACAGTTAGATAGATGGTAAAATAGATGGCTCAAATGTTTGAATAGGCCGTCTTATCGCAAATCATCTCATCTTTGAGATGCAGGTACATTCAGCTGACGAGTCCCAAATAGGACGAAATGCGCGTCTTGAATTCTACTCCTTGTCATCATTCATCTTTGTTTATGAGTAAATTTAACTTATCAACCTTTTCTTAAAAAAAGATTAATACTTCTTACCATCATAATACAACTTACAATATTCTGTATTGAAAGATTTATGTGGATTTACAAATTGTTCATAATCTTTCTGTAATAGATCCGTTGCTTTTACTGTATGTCCTATCCATGCTTCTGAAATATACAAATTATTCAAGTATTCTGTAACTAATGGTTGTAAATCTTGTCTTCGAAACCAAATTAATAATTCTTCACCAGCTTCAATTCTACGTGTTGTTCGATAGAATGATTGACCTAATTGATGACAATAAACTAATTCCATATTTTGTTCACTTGGACATCTAGCACAACGTAGATTACATACCCATTCAATAAGACGTATTGGATCAGATAATCGTTTAGGATCAGCCTATTGTATGAAGAGAGAAAGAGAAACAAAAGAAAATGTATCCTTCAGTGAAAATATTAAAAAGAAAAACTTAGACTTTCACTTTACATTCGTTCATCTTTCATAATGTGCTTTTATAGACCAAATCGACTGTTAATTGTTTTGAGCATGTTGATGAGAATGAAGTAAACGTATATTACATTTTCTGAATCTACTCAGAACAAAAGATGGTTTGGATCCGAATGGACATTGATTCGAAAAACTATATCTGAAAAATACAGTGATTGAGAACTCAGGTGAGGGTAAACCAAATAACACAATGCCTTCATAAAATATGGAAATTATACATTAAATTCGTTATTTGTACAACTTTCATCAGTTTTCCGTTACATAATTCATAGCTCTACTACTTCTGTTGTTATTTTAATTGCTTTCTGTTTCCCTTCCCATTCTATTCAGTTCAACCTTCCTCTGAAGAGGCATTCCATTACCGATTATTACTTCATACTATTTATGTCTTAGCATAAGTAGTATACAACATACTACCATAGTTTAAAACACAAAGTTCGAAAATGAAACAATTGCATTCTAACCCATCATTATTAGAATAACTCACTTTTCATGAGATATGAATTGTATTATATTCTTAAGGTAGATTTTATAGAGTAATGTACTAATGATGAATCCTTTACAAAGGTAAATCAGTTTACATAAATTCAGTTCCTTGTATTTGCACTGATAGCTTTCTTAAATAGATTCATCCAGGATAGACTCACTGTTCATAATCCGTTTGATATATGAAATATGAGTAAAATAGATGACGATCTCGGTACGTTTACCAGTCTGATGAATACATACACACACATACACACCCGACAGTTGTTGCTACCTTGACGTGGTGGTCTGGTTTGCCTATCGTGATGAAGCAACCGAGCTATACTGGCTGGAACAACCGTTCCTCAAAGTCCTACCATGTCAGACAGGTCGGCTGAAGAGCGGTAAGACTAAAAGCAACAAGTCCAAGGTCCGAAGGCGAAGTCGTACTGCTGACTGCACAGAGGTGTGACAGCAGTAAGGTGTTTCCTTCAGACAACCAGCATGACAGCGATGCTGCCTTCCCACAAGGAGGGGTGGGGTTAGAAGAGGTCGACCCTAAAAATGCACACCTCACCTTATCCCACGGATATCCGTCTCCGGCGGTAAGGTCTCAACAAATACGGAGCTAACACAAAAACTGCCCATAAAAAGGTCGTGTGTGACCGACCTCAAGCAGTTATCCCTTGGGCACTGTGGTCACGCTCTCAGGTCACTAAGACCACCTCTAATCCAATTTCCTTTTCAGGCACCTCCGGAAGAACCCTTCCACGGTGTGGGCGACCGGAAAGTAATAATCACCCTCATACTTCTAACAACACTCAAGATACATACACTAATCTTGATATGAATTCATAAACCTCTACCAAAGTAGTATAAATATTGATATCTGTCTCAATTGAGCATAATTTAAAATAACTAGACTATTGGAAACAAAGTGATGTATCTCGTCAACGCTTTACTCTAATGTTAGCTTTTGCACAGAAAATTTAGGGTATTTATAACATTTCAGATAGCCTTAAGCTTTTGAAAAATTCTGGAACGCTACTAAACAGAGTAGCAGTATAAATAATCATCCAATCAGATAACGAGATATGTGACTTTTCCCTTTCTAGATGTTTCCGGCAAAACTTCTATTGAATGCGGATTGGATACTATGCTTCTTCAGAGCATTTGTTGGCTAGTTTTTGAGGAATTTTCCAGATCTTCCCTACACTAATATCTATACTTTGAATACCGTTGATCTGTTCAATTTATTGTAATGAATTTCTTCAATAGTAACCAACTTCACTTCACTTTAGTATTAATAATAATATTGTATTATTGAGGATAGTTTGCAGTAAGAAGGTTTAAATTTCAAATGTTTAAAAATTACTACTCTACGATGATGACCAATAACTCGAATTACAACATATACTCACATGTACATTATGCATTCCTCTATTCTACTTAGTTACGTCATACATATATCAACCACTTCATAGTTTTTAATAATGCTCAAACTAACATTGTTTAGTTGCGAAGTACAATATTATAAGATGGTGGTTGGATGTAGTCGAGAGGAAACTCGGAACCTAGGTTTCGTACTACTTGGCACTCGTCAGTAAGGTGTACCTGTAATATTGAGAGAGTACTATTGTTGCCTAATAGATTCGATCTCATGTCACCCAGCTTCACAGTCAGAGACATTACCATTGAGTTGTCTGAACCACAACTGACTTCCTGTAGGACTGAGATATATTTACAATTGATTGATCACTGGATGGTGATCAATGTCATATATGTCAGACTTTCTAACCACCATTTTCTTTCAAAATAATGCATACAGTACCGAGCCACCTAGACTAATAGTCACATTGTAACTCGGTTGATAGGATTGGATCTACACCAAGAAGGATCTGATATGTATATGATATTGATCATCTTCTAACGTTATTAACTACAAAGTGTCATCATAATTCCTCTAATCCAGTTTACAATATAAATTTAAAAATTTGATAAGTTCATCGAAAGTAATTCATAGAAATTAACTTACATAGATTGTTGGTAATTCAGATAATCGATCTGTTGTTGTTTGTGCAATTAAATATGCTGGTTCAGCTATCATTAAACTTGTTGGTAAAGGTCCAAAACTTAAAGATTCTTCTAATACATTTGTTGTTATCATACCCATGATTATTATGTAATAGAACTGATTACAATTGATTGATACTCTGTACTAAATAGTCTAAAGTTAAATATACAAATACAAAGATTATTGAAAGTAACTAATATCATGATCTGAACTAATAAATTACTGCAATCTCCACAGAACCCCTTCTGATAATAATCAACATATGCTCACTAATGACTGGCTTCAAGAGTTATCTCGTGGAGTCCTAGTGGGGAGCTGTGACTAGTGGAGTTCAACCAGGTCTGTTGTTTGATAGTAACTCACTGAAGACAATAATGGATGTGTTGCTCAATTCCGTGGATTAGTTGAAGTTAGACATTAACACCATTGGATGCCGGCCGGCTCAGTGGTCTAGTGGTTAAGCGCTCGCATGCGAGACTGATAGATCCTGGATTTGAATTTCGCGAAGCGGTATTGCGGATGCGCACTGCTGAGGAGTCCCACAATAGAACGAAACGGCCATCCAGTGCTTCCAAGTTTTCCATGGTGATCTATCTTCAACTAACTCATGATCTCAATTATTAAAATTTACTATAGTATCCACAAAACCCCTTCTGATAATATCATATTTGTATAATCCATAGTTTTAATCGAACTCATGTTGGGAACTAGACTAAATGATTAGAAGGTAAGTGTATCACCTTTTATTGTTAGATAGTTGGAGACAATTGACCGAAAGACATGAACGGTGAGATTATAACTTATGGACGAACCAATCAGATTTGAGATAATAGGTTTTGGATTTTGGCGCGACATTCACTCATTCATTTGGTTAAATAGATTCATAGCATTATAGCTGATGTCAGTTAGGGATGAAAACCCTAAATCTAATTATTAACCTTAACCATCAACTGTAAATAAGTCGAGTTCCTTACGTAAGTTTATAACCCTCATTTACTCCTAGTTATTAATGGACACTTTCAAGGTTACTTTGGTGTCGCTGAAAGGTCGTCCATAAATTATAGTCTCCCCCCATGAACTCTAGTTTCATGCTAGTGAACACTTACCAACAAGGTATATCTATAATATCTATGGAACTTAAACTCCCCTTTCAGTGTAAACACATGTCTTTCAGTTTCATAGTCAGAGTTGTTACTGTTGATTTAATCTGACTGGATGACGTTTCCGAATGTGAAAATTAACCATCTCATTGATCGAGAGACAACATATTCGAACTAATGAATTCAAAATATATAGCTATAGTGTCCTTCTATATAGGACTTATAAACTAGATATACCTGTGGACCCTATTGTTTACGTTCACAATGAGATTGGAACTCAATACCTTTCGTTTGAAAAATCAGAGAATTATCCATTAACTTACTGATTCCAGATAGTCATTAACTTGTTTAATGAGTGTGAGGGTATTCGTCAGGATTTGTAACTTCCCGTTGTTGAACTCCACAACTTCAATTGATCATTGTCTATTGTTGTATGTTCATCTGGCGACGATTACCTCAAAATAATTTTTAATCTCAAGTTTCTAATATATTTGATTAAAGGTTATTCAGAACCAATTTTCTCAGGATAGATATATATAGGAACACAAAATGATCAATTTTAGTCTTGAAAATCAACAACTGGAAATTACAAACTCTCACTATAGATCATTGTTAGTTTGTAGAACTTTTGAAACTTTCCGACGTTACAACGTATGCTTGAAAATTCTCATTTGTGAGTACTCTTGACTACCTTCTCGATTTGATATGCGACAATTAGGATAACTAACTAATCAATCGATTCAATCAATCGACTTGTAATCGAAAATTTATCATTTCACAACTATAAATAATTTATGATAATTTGTCTTTCAATAGTTAACCTTCTTTATGTTCATCGAAAAAATCTAAAGATTTCCAGGATTATGAATAACTCTATTATCAGAGAGTCCTTCAAGTTCTTTCTTTTCAGATAAAAGCTTGGTATCTATCTTCATAGATTTTCGAGGTTATATTGATTACACATAAAAATCACTTTTAAAAGTGGTTTTGCTTCAAAGTTAAATAATCTCACTTCAGTATGTGGTTCGAATCCCGCGAGCGGGATCGTGGATGCCCACCGCTGAGGAGTCTCACAATAAGACGAAACGGTCGTCCAGTGCCTACAGGTTTCCGACGGTGGTCTAACATCAATCGGTTCATGATCTCAATCAAAAAATCTCACTTCATTTAACATCATTTAAACTTTTCTAAAAACAGTGGATTGATCGAATCTAGACATTAACACCTTCGAATGTCCACTTAGTGGTTAAAAGTTCGCGCATGAGATCGAAGGTCATAGGTTCGATTCTGTGAGGACGATCCACGGATGAACTTGAGGAAGCTCTAAGAAGCTCAGAAAGAGCCGAAGATATCCTATCCAATTATCTTTTGGAAGAATATTCTAGAATCTCTACATGTAGCTTTCATGTTGAGCAAATGCTAATAAACCCCTGTATAGGGATCGGAGGATTATAATAATGACTTCATTTTTACTAAAAACTATAAATACCCAAGAGTTTTGTGTCATATTTGACAATGTTTAGAATAGCATTCCTTTCACTTGTCTCCTGTTTTCTCAATTTTGACTCGAGATGGTTCTAGCGTTCAAGTTGCTCAAGTTATACACGGCATATTAAGAATCTAAGCTCTAAATATAACCGATTCCTGAGTGCGGAATTGTTTGTATGGTTTATTGAAGAGTACGATACTAGGACGAAAGATCCATTCAATGTTTCCAGATTTTTAATGATAGTCTAACATTAGAAAATTCATGATCTCAATCAAAATATAACTCATATCAGATCTCTTTCTATTCTCGTTTTAATTTTCTGAAAAAAACTCCTTCTACATTAAAATCATCTTAATTATAAGAAATTCAAGGTGGAAATCATTAATTCATTGTCACCATATATGTCATTTTGTCTCATTAATGATTTTTGGTTTAAAATGATTGAATTTAATGAAATAAACAACTTTTTATTACATTCAGTTGGTATAGTGGATAGCAGTGTAGTCCAGGACGCGCACCTCTTCGTCCTATTTGGGACTCGTCAGCTGGATGTACGTGCATCTCAGAGTTAATGTTCACTCTGGGACTCGAACTCAGTACCGTTCGCTATTCATCTTTGCATATCATGCTTGTGAATTAAGACTATATCGCGGCAATACGCACAGTATGCACATATGCCAATGACAGACTGATTAATTGTAGTCCTGAACATCAATGGGAAGATTCGAACAAACAATACCATGTGAATTTCAACTTCAGCCCATTCGGCGTAAGTAGATATCAAAACTCAGTAGTTAAGTAAATAATGTGGTCAGTTCGCAAGCGAACTGTACTGGGTTTGAGTCCCAAAGTGAACATCAACTCTGATATGTAGGTGTAGTGAACAAGAACACCAGTGGGGACAATCGAATACATTTAACAGGACTTGTTAATAAAATCTAACAATCATAAAGTAAATGCAAAATGTCCATCGATTGTCTCATAATGACTCATACTTCATTGTTCTTGCATTTTCTTACACATTGCATCCTGTTTCCATTCTTTACTGTTCGATCCTCTTGTCTCTCTGCTGCCAGACCTTCTGTTCACGACTAACATCATATACTACTTATGTCAATATAAGTAGCACACACCACATAAGTATATCCAGCTGACGTGTCCCAAACTGGATGAAACGCGCGTCAAACTGGGTTCCAGTCCTAGCCACTATCCATTTTTCCATATAACTTTCTACCATGTTTTAAACTACAGTATATACAATTTGTATCTAATCAAGAAATAAGTTTGAGATTAGATGGTGGTTGGAAGTAGTCGACAGGAAACCCTGGACCCGAGTTTCGTGCTACTTGGCACTCATCAGTAAAGTGTACCTGTAATCTTGAGGGAACTGGTGCTACCTGGTGGATTCGACATTGATCGCCACCCAGTGATCAATCAATTGTGATTACATCTCAATCCTACAGGAGGTTAGTCACGGCTCGGATAGCTCAGTGGTAACGTCTCTGACTGTGGAGCTGGGTGCCACGAAATCGAATCCTCCAGGGAGCACCAGTTCCCTAAAGATTACAGGTACACCTTGCTGGTGAGTGCCAAGTAGCACGAAATCAGGGTCCAGAGTTTCCTTTCGACTACCTCCAACCACCATGTAATCTCAATATATAGTGCCCTCAATGTCGAGTCATCTAGACTGGTGGCCACATTGCAACATGATCGATAGCATTCGATCTGCACTAATAAGGACTAGACAAGCATGACATTGATCACCATCCAGTGATCAATCAATTGTGAAGAAATAAGTTTATTTGAAATCTATTACATAACCGATCAAACTTTAATAAGAAATATTCATTCTACTATTTAATCTAATTCATATTTCTGTTAAATTATTATCCCTTTTTTATTCATTGAAATTTGTAACAGATGGGATAAGACAAAAAAAACAAAAGAAAACAAAAAAAATACAAAAATACAAAAAATTTTTTTAAAAAAAAACAAGAAAAAGCGCGTTTCCAACGAATAAACTGAGGGGAAGAATAAAAAGAAGAAATCGGTTCTATATTATGATTGTTTTATTATTAATGTGAAAAAGTGCTTGGTCATCAAAGAAAATAAAAAATTTTCTTTCGTTTTGCAAAAGGGGTAAAAGATTGGAAGAAGAAAATTTTTTTTTTGTTGCTTAAGGGTAAAAATGAAATTTAAAACATTGATTGAATTCGATTTTTTTTTAATAATGAAAGAATATAAGAGTGGTGGTAAATCAATTAACTCTGCCTTAAACCCCTCTGAGGTTACTGTCGGTTCTAAGCCTGAATAAAGGGGGAGGGTTGAACATGGGATTAGTGATCTCATCGCGTAGAAAACTAACTCACGCTAACCAGAAAAAAACATAATAATTTAAACCATTTATACTGTGCTCTGGGAGTTAGAAGGTCTTTTTATTTAGAAGAGTTATGATGTCTCATAGTGAAAACCGAATCCTTTCGGAATTCATGAGGCTGACTTTA